CAATATATATTAAAATAATATTAAAAGTTATGGCTCAGATACGGTTTTCAACCCAACTGAATTTTGGTTGAAGTTTTGAAATTCGGTATTATCGATATCAACTCATGGAGTGTGAAAAATTTGTTTAGCCTCACGGGAAAAATTCCGAAACTGAACGAAGCAAGCTACAATTTGAAAACAGCAAATATAATATAACATTAAGGGACTGTAGGAGACGTTTTAAACATAAAGAATTGGTATAATATACTATTCTTAGGAACTAAAAATTAAAAACGTTTTGCTTCTCTTCAGATATTTGTATTTTATCTGCTACGAAGAAAAAGGGTGTTCATAACTTTTAAAACCTTCTTAACAACCATAGGTTTCGTGGTATGTGCCAGCTCAAAGTTAAAATGCATTCTACTTTCGTCAGCAAGGAAACGGAGAGTTTGTGGTAATGCACTTTCATATAATTAAAAAAAAAAATAAATAAAATGCTTCCTATTTTAGATGAAAACTACTTATGAATCTGTCAGAAGCCTTGTTTAAAAGCCATTTAATTTTTAATAAAACTTTGGCTTGTTTGATTTTAGGGAGTTCAAATGGACTTGACTGATCACTAAAGTTTTTTCTTATGCGCAACACCAGCCTTTATATTTCTGACACGGTAATATTAGTCAAAACTTGTGATCATTTTAATAATTATTCACCTTTTCGTGGGGAATAACTGAATTGAATTGTTTTTATTTTTCGTTTACAAATACATATGTATGTATATCAAATAATAAATATACATATGTACAGCGCACGCTCGCTAATGTGAACACTCTATAGTTCGAACACCCTATAATGTGAACAGACTTTTTTATGCATTGACTACTCTATAATGTGAACAAACCCAAAAGGCTCTATAATATGAACCAAAGACGTTAAAGTATTTGAATGTAGTTTACACAGATCTCAGCTAATTCTGAATTTGGGGAATTTCAATTTTGCAATTTTGTATTCGCGTGGAGTGTTTCGTTTTAGATTTTCTGTTAAAAATGAATTCAAAAAAACCCCCTTTTTTGACATTGAAGCAAAAAGCTGTTATTCTCGATTCTTTAAAAAGAGGCTAATCTATGCCGTTCTTAGCAAAGAAATATAATGTTGCTAAATTAACAATTTGTGGAATCAAAGCAAAAAACAAGTGATTTTAAAGTTCGTCAACAACACATACTCGGGACCTGGACAAAGAAGAACTCTGCGTCCTTCAGAGCTGCCCAAAATGGAGAAAGCTCTTTATCATTGGTTTATCAAAATGCGGAATAAAAACTGGCCAGTAAGTGCCTTAATGTTGAAAGAAAAGGCCAAAGTACTGCTTGCACAAGTAAAGGAAAATGAATCTAACTTCAACGCTAGTGATGGAAGGCTTCAAGGATTTAAAAAAAGGTACGGTATTCGACTGCTGCAAATATCAGGCGAAAAACTATCTTCGCTGCCTCAGCTCGTGGATCCATTTAAGGAAAAACTTAGAGCTAAAATGGCCGAACTGGAGCTGTGTAACGACCAGTTATATAATGCTGATGAGTCAGGCTTATTCTGGAAACTTCTGCCAGAAAAAACGTACGTGTCCAGTATGGAAAAGAGAGCACAGGTGAGGATTTATTTTGTATTTTGTTAACTTTTTTCTTCTAAATTTGTTTTTTAGGTAACGTCATTTTTAAAGGAGAAAGGTTTGCCAATTAAAGCTCTACTCCTAACCAACAACGCTCCTTCTCACTCAAATGAAGCTCAGCTGGCAACGGAGGATGGACAAATTTTGGCAATGTTTATGACACCAAACGTTACTCCCCTCATCCAACCAATGGATCAAAATGCCATAAGGACCACAAATTTGCATTACAGAAACAGCCTTTTAGCCTCAATAGCAGCTACAAACTCCAATTTCGATTCGATGAAACAAATTACTTTACGAAGAGCTATAAATCTTTTGGATGTCGCTTGGAGTCGTGTCAGCGAAGTAACATTACCTAATTGCTGGAAAAATATTTTAAATTTTACGGGAGATGATGACGATCCCGAAGATAGTGTTCCGCTCGCAGTTTTAAAAGAAAAATGGGGAGCTGAACTTCGCGCCTTGATGAGCAATACCGTCGATCTCTTTAACAGTTAGAATGCTGAAGTTTGTTCGTTTTCGCAGAATCGCACAAAGATATGAAGGTTATTGAAAATGATTTTCTTATTAACCATTTTAGGCTGAATTAACGCTACCAGGCCTTCATGAATGGAACGAAGATATTGAAGATGCTAATGCAAATGACGAGCATGAAAAAGAAGACGATTCCGATGAAGGCAGCGTATCGGAGGTAGAGGAGAAAATTAAGCGGACTGAAGCAGTTGAAATTTTCAACAAGTTCATGAAGACGTCGATCCAGATGATGAAAATGTACTAAGACGTCTAACAGAGAAAGCTGTGCTCCAACTTTTAAAAACACAGAAGATACCGGAAAGGATGACTGATTTTTTCAAATAAAACTTACATTTTGTATAATATGTGTTACGTAAAAATGTATATGTAATAAAAACATGAATAAAATGTGAATTCCAATATATAAATACGTACTATCCTATTCATTCCATAATGTGAACACTTTCGATAATGTGAACTGCCTTGGCTTTAATTAGGTCAGATTATCGAGCGTGCACTGTATATGTGACCTGGTCTACGGAAAAAAGCTTAGGTGTCAAAAAATCAATTTTCACTTTTTAGTTGATTCGGATGGAAGATGAGATGCTTTTTTTTTTAACAGCTGTTTCCCAGAAAACTAGTTTTCGCACGTTAGCTCCCTTTTCGTAGACCAGGTCACATATAGTGAAATATTCATTTTTCAGGTTTGCAACATTAATGAAAATATACTGCAACGTCTCGTAACAAAAAGAGTTGGGTTGCTTTAACTTCAATTGTGTTTCTCCTTTTTAATAAAATTACCTTAATAACTTTTAAAAGTTATAAATTTTATTGTCATGGCAAAATATGCTTAGAATTGGCGCAGAATTAGACATTTGCTTAGTCTTCGGTCGGACCTGCCTGGATTTCACATTCCGCTTTAAGGTGGCCCCACTGTCCAATTTCTACATCGATTCTTGTGAAGCGCTTCCAAACCTCCCCACCCACTTTTACATCGATTACTGTAAAGTAACTCCGAACCACGTTGGTCCATTTATGTTTCTGACATATTTATTTAGTCGGTAGTCACTCCTCATGAAGCCAATGAGCACGTAAACAAATTTTTTTTTACCATTTAGCTATTTCTGCTCTAATTATTGCGTGGTTTGATGGGCGAACAGAAAAACATATTCGACAAACCGACATTTACCTGAAATTCAACTTACGCATTAGAAGATTGTCATAAGCTGTAATGCGACAGGTAATAGAGGCATGAAAGAAGTTACACAAGTTTTTGAAAAAATCAACGAAGAACTAAACCAATAACTGAATTTTTTAGTCTTCTTTTAAAAAGAATTAATTGACATAGCAAAGAGCTGTCGCATAGATTAGATGCCTTCCATATGCAACTTATAATATTGTTTATTAATTAAAAACTAGTAACTGTGTTATGAATTAAAAACTACTAAATTAAAAATGTAGGGCTATAAAGCTTTTTTTTATAACCGCGCAAATTTACGAAACTGCGAAAAGTATCAGCGAAATTGTAGCAAAGGGACGAGTAACGTCACTGTAAGGTGGTCAGGTATTCGACTAACTTTATTTGCACAATTCTCCTCCTTAAATAATATTCTATACAATATTTCGATACCGCTTAATATGTACATAATTCCGCTTTTAGGTACTTCTAACAGTTCATAAAAGTTAACGCTATCGCATCTTCATATATAATTTAGTTATTAAAGAGGAATATAAAAATAGGAATGCAGCGTTGTAATATGCTGCTTACATATTAAACTGAGTACATGCTAAATAGGATTAACTAATGTGCACAAATAAACATACGTGTAATTGCGTGAGCGAAACATATCATTAGTAAAGTGTACAGAGCAAATGCAAGCAAACACAATGTAAATACAATTGTTATGTGAGGAACACAATGCTCGCGATAGACTGCAGCAGCACGACAGTGAACTGAAAATGGCGTTGTGAATCCTACTTCATGAACCTTTGTGAGAGGGCAGCAACATAACAATGGCCGGCATGTTCACAAAACAACGCAGTTGTCCATTTTGCATGTACACGATTTCGTTACCTCGCACTTCAATGAAATTTTAATATTTTGTTGAAAGTGAACGTTTTTATGCAAAAAATAAGTAAATAGGTAAATTTATTCGTTTTTCGTTATTCGTTTCAAATTATCAATTGTTATTACAAATGATGTAACAAAGCTATTTTATGCTTTTATTTGAAAAATAACGTCAAGTTTGTTAGAKCTGTGAATAATTTTACATTTTACATATTAGTGGCATCCCCATTCTTCCTCATTTCTCTATCTTCCATTCTACTGTCAACTCTACTGTCGTCCCACTGTCGTTGGCACATATAGGATCAAATTGAATTTAGCGAGAACGACATTTGTCCGCCTGCAGTCGTGTAGTCGTGCAGCTGTCAAAATAGGTCCGTCCATAAGAACGTGTGTATTTTAATATTTGACAGATGTCGTTTGCAGTCTGTCGCGAGCATTGTATTCCACACATTAACTGTATTGAGGTGAATGACTCCTACTGCTTAACCTTGAATATTAGGCAAATAAGAAGTAGAAATAGCAAAAATATATAAGAACATATGGTTGAAGTATGCAGTGGTTTGCAATCGGTGACCCAACAAAAACCTTATATATGTTAATTTGAGATGTTCCTAAACTTAACTCGAAATTACCGTCGAATATAATTATTTATAAATAAGTATACTATTTTTAATACTTGGACTTTAGCAATGGTATCATTGCTCAAATGTGATCGAGTGAGAACAACAACTGCGTTGTCACTACGGAAGGGAGCACGTCAGTCACATTAAAGAATTTACTTACTTATTTATGAAGAGAGTTGCTTGGCCATTTCGTGTATAGCTGTAGTCAAACCTCCCTCCAGATTCTATCAGTGTGTCATCAAAATAGTATGTCATCTTGGGTTTTGGATAACCATATACAAACCACATTAACTCGGTGTTATGATTTTTGACTCCATAACTGCAATCGTTTTCTCGTCGTAAAAATCTGTCAATGAAAAATTTTAAGAACAAGAATAATTTCAACTTGGCGTAAAAGATAAATGCAATTTATTCTCTATTTGTATTTTGGAACAATTTAAAAAATTCTATGTTCATTTTATACAATGTTATATACATGAAGGCAGACTAAAAAGCTTTTGTTTTTCATTTACCGATCATACCAAAAGCTTTTAATGCTGCGAATTATTTTAAAAGTTTAAAAGTATATATACCAAGTAACGATCATTGACTTGTAATGCACTGCGGTAGATGAATGTGTAAACCAAATTAAAAATATATTTAATGATTATGATAATAAAATCGAAATAACATTTTTTGTACAAAAATGTACTTAGTATTTGTAGTAAGCTTTTCTCAAAATTCCAATGTATTTTTCGGCATTCATAGATCCTTTTGAATAATACCAAACTTAGTTTTAGCCCCCCACACCATTAAATAGGGCGAATACTTTACGATGCACAAAACACAGCTCTTTCGTAGGGTCCAAATAAATTAAACTTGGATTCGTCGCAAAAAATAACATTTCCCCAATCTGTTAAATTCCATGTTTTGTGTGACTTTGCCCACTCTAGTCGTTGTTTCCTCGTTCGTGCAATGAGAAGTATCTTTTCGCTCTCGTAATCCAAGATTATTCAAGACATTCTGCATTGAACTTGTAGTTATTTTTACCCCAGTGTTTCCTAAAATGTTGCATTGATTGTTCCAGCATGTTGAAAGCGATCACTAACGCACTCCGTTTAATTTGTCGTTCGTGACGAAGTTTTACTTTTTTCGGGCGTCCACTGCCCTTTTTTCGAGCTAATGAATTAAAATTCGTATAATTTTTAGTTATATTGCGCATGCTCCAGTCACTTAAGCAAATTTCACGAGCTATTTGACGTTTGTATAATTTATTTTTAATAAGGCTACTATTTCTGCTTTATTTTCTATTGACAACACCAGGTTCAACTTTGCTTACTTTTACAACTTACTTATACGAAAATACCGCAAATACTGAAACAAACACGTGCGGTGGCTAATGGCATTGTATAACCCTACAAGTAACAAAACAATCAGCTGTTTTCCAAGAATTTTTCACAGCTGAGATCACCTGATCGAAATCTGCCTTTTTTAGGCACAGAGATRTAATTAAAAGAAATGTAGTAGATCAACTTTTTTGTGAAAAAGTATTTGTAACGGAAAACATTAATGAAAACTTTCAAGAATATTTTTGAAACAAAAGTTTGTTAGATATTTATTGCTCTTCCTCACCTCCTCTGAGGTTGCAATGTAGGCGCGCTACCGAACTTTTTTGGGTGTTCGGTTCCCCAGGAGGCCTATTTTCACCCTTTTTTATATATACAGCTTTAAATCAATCTATTGTACTTATTATAAAAAATATGACAAAACAAAAATAAATATATCAAGTACAATTCATGAATACTAATTACATTAAAAATATAACTGGAAACTATTTAAACAAAAACCAAAATAAATATAAACAAATCAGGTACAATTCAATTGTAAACATTAACAATACAAGCCATAACAATCGGCTTGTGTTAATTTTAACATAAACAAAAATTAATATAAAAAATCAGGTACAATTCAGGAACAACAACAATAATATTCAAAACAATCTACTAACTAATAAATAATACTTACAAAATATTCTAAATAACCCAACGCGAAAAAATTATTAAAAACCCTATCAAAGGAATAGTGGTGGAAAGAAGGGTCCTATATCTGGTACACGAAAACACTTAAAAAACAAAAAATAATTGATAATAAGCGTACAAACCTAATCGCTAAAATTCACATTTCAAATTCACAGATCAAGGTAACTATTGAAATAAATATTTTTTTTATAAAATTGGAAATATTTAATAATATATTGATGCAATAATTAATATTTTGGACAAAACTGATTAAATTTAATATTTAGGAATTTAAATAATCGAAAAATATTTGAATAATTTATAAAAATATTGTTAATGTTATAAATTTTAAAACCTAACACGGCAACACACTATAGCAGATTTKAGGCATTTGAACGTTTTAGTAGTAGAATATTTGGGGGCAACCCGTACCAAGTGACTAATTAGTAGCAGAATATTTGGGGGCAACCCGAACCAAGTGCCTAATTTGTAGTAGAATATTTAGGGGCAAGCCGTACCAAGCGCCTAATTTGTAGTACATTTTTGCGTATGTGTTAGTGAAAAATGAAGGATTGGTAACTTGTAGGTTTATACAATGGGCTAATGGTTTTAGAAAAAACGGTAAACTAATGTAGTCACATAACAAAAAAGCCAAATAAGGCAAATAGCGAATTTTAAGTAAATAATGACAGTTCAAATTAGGAATATTAGAAAATTCAAACAAATTTTATTAACATTTCTTTTATTGTATTATTGCGAAAAAATATAAAACCAAACGGAAAACGGTAATTAATATATTTGCCAAATGGAAGGTGGAAATACGTTGTTGTTTTGTATTTTTGTGGCGATAACTTTGGCCCTCTCTATTCGTTTATACTGAATTTATCGGGAAGCACACAACTTCCTATATCACTCAAGGAATGTTCACAGTTAATGGAACTTCATTTTAATTACACGTTTTACACAAGCATAAATTCTTAATATTAAATACCTATGCCGAGGTTAATAAAATTTAATCGCCAAATTTTCGAGAAGTTTTTGATCTCTGCTGTATTGAATCTGTGTTAACGAAAAAGTATTGCGCAGGAGCGCTTTTGTATTGAATGAGGATTATCGAGCTGATGTAGACGGAAAAAAATGTTTTAAGTTATACGGATATTTGACATTTTTTCAGCACCTTCGAGTAATATTGGGCTATGAGTATTGACAGATCGAGCTCACATTTGGCATAGTAATTAAGGACAGTCCTATAATCTTAGTAAAATATATTTTTTGAAATATCGTTTATCCGTGGAATTTTAACTTCCGGGTACTTTTTTGTCACAATGTAAATTAATAACACACAAATTTGCTTGTAATCTATTCCCGGATAGTATGCATGTTTGGATTTTTTTTCTCGTAGGTAGCTTGACTTAAAGTATATACTATATATTTCAATAATCCCTTTCACTTTCCTTTAAAAACATTTTTATTTTTGTGTTTAGTTTGCACACACTTCTTCACTTTCACAACTATTATAGTTTTGTTCACCTAACGGTTGTACGTATCACCTAAAACTAATGGAAACTTGGTGTGCAGCCATCCCCAAAAATCGCCATCAGGGGATAACCCTGCTGACTCCCCATAAAACGGTACTTCCAAAACTACTAATAGCGCGATAAATCAATAACTAAATACGGACAGAGACATTAAATTTTACCACCGAGACAGTATGAGAGAACTTATGGAAAACGATAAACCGGACTCCGATACCTATAGTTGACCTTTGATCGAAAATGCCGGTTAATGTGTGGCATATATTTGTGAAATTATGCGGTTATCCTCTTATAATGGTATGTCTGAATGCCGAAAATGGATTGAATCGGACCAATACTTCCCTTAGTCGCCATATATCGAATATAAAGATTTCGAACTTTCGGGTGACTTTGTACTGCGTATATCGGCCAATATGTGAGTTATCCCAATGAAAACCAAAGAGCGTATTTTACTAAAAATGGGGTATATTTGTGCCTAAAATAGATAAATTTAGCTAAAACTTGATTTAGCCCCTATATAATTAATATCAGGATGACTTTACTTGCGAGAGAGAGACTTAGCCCTTCTTTTCTGGTTCTTCTTCTTGATTGGCGTAGTCACCGCTTACGCGATTATAGCCGAGTTAACAACAGCGCGCCAGTCGTTTCTTCTTTTCGCTACGTGGCGCCAATT